AGAATCAACAACAAATTTCCTTATCAAACAAGTCTAAATAGAACCACAGACCTTCATCAATCCTTTCATTCATCATAATGCAAGGTATCTCCTATCACTTTTTGAAAAAAGGTTTTACCCCGAAAGCTCTAATGAAAAGCAACAGGTTGTTGCTCAAACTTGTCAGAGAGAAACAAAGTTGAAGCTGACATGTCTAGATACATTTATATACATTCAAAGAAGTGCTGATAATCATCATCCTTAGGAGGAGAAGAAAATACCCCGTATTTAAACTAAAACCCAAGTTGAATGTTGTACAATATAACTTGCCTCTTTCAACTCCATGGCACCACTTTGACAAAGGTATCCCCAACAAGCATTTCTAACTCGCTCTCCATGTATTCCATAATCTTGGCTCTCTGCAAACACCTATAACATAGTATTACCTGGTTAATTATAGAAGTAGAAAATAAAAAGCTGATAAACCAATAATCAGTCTTAAATGCAGTTTGAACCTGGTACGTTAAGAAGTTTGATGTCCATAGCTCTGAAATGATGAAGTCCGTGCATATTGCACATAAATCCTGCATGCAAAATGAGACCATCAGCTAAATAAAGGATAATGTTTCAGGTTCACCAGAAGCTCTTGAGAATACTAGAATATTGGAATCAATGTCAATTACACCTGTTGCACCTCAACCTTCATTATTCTTCCTGTACTAAACTTTCCATTTTAACAAGTTGGAAATCAGCATGGAAAGACTTAATCGTTGAAATTTGAAAATATAAGATATGAGTATATGACTGAAAAAACAGACCAACAAAGAAGATAGATACCCTTATTCCTTAGTGCTGTTTGCAATCTTGAAGATAGATATCCTTATTTCTAGTAGGTGTGGGCTTAGTTTCCTATTCGCAGTAGAGGTGACTTAGCCCAATGTTCCTATAAATATAGCGTCTCTATATAGTTCGATACACAAAAACATAGAGAGACAATCTATGGGGACCTATTAGTATTAATTCAATCATAAATTCTCTCTACGCTCTCTTTGGTTTCTCACATAATTTGCTCCCGCTAACCAGGTGGTGGCCTATTTGACAAGTGTCAGGCATTTCAATCCCTCAATTTCAACATGGTATCACAGCCTAGTGTCCTAGGCCATCTTTTCAAATTACCAAGGCAGATGATGGACTCTTTTATTGGGTAAGAGAACAGTTCAACAAACTTATTCACTTACCAACATACCATAAAATCCAACAAAGTTCTGTAAGAATTGAATTCATCAAACTCTGATATGCAGAATTCCTCCATCTTAAACTTCCTTATTATATTAATAAATTTCCTTTTTACCAAAATATATATGTTTCTGCTCCACCATTAAAGGCTAGTTTCAGGCATATACAACAATTAGGCTTTCATATGAATAGCGCAACAACTATGTAAAATTCTTTGTGGTTTGGATTGTATGCCTGAAGGTCAAGAAAGGATGCAGCGGCAAGAACTCGAAATGCATTATTATCACTGAGCTTGGGGTGGTGTCCATAAAGATAAGCCAAAGCTAGTTCAATAGCCTCCCCATTGACATTATTATCATCCACATTCAAGGTCAAAACCTGAGCACTTGCTTCTTTCCAAGGTCCCTGCAACATGTTCCTGCAAAACAAATCATGACACCAAAAATTAAAATAATCACGAATTAATTAATAAATTAACCACAAAAACACAGACACATATCACAACATAATAATAACAACAACAACAACAACTTTGAATGAATTAACAACTGAAACATACGCACACGGCACAACACGAAACGAGCACATAATTCTGCTTAGGCTGGTGAGGATAGTGGTTTAAAATGATAGACGGTCTGATACCTGAAGTAAGAGCTTCGGGAGAGGATAAGGCGGTGGAGGTGGTAGGTGGAACCCATGGCTTGAACGACAATATCGGAGAAGGAGCCATTGTTGAAGCCCTCCAATTGGATGTGATCGCAGAGGGAAGTAAGGTTGCAATCCAGTGCGCGTAGCTCACTGCTGCTACGGTCGTTATCGGAGATTTGAAGCTGAGATTGCGACAGCTGAGGTGGTTGCCTCGTCGCCGTCATTTCCATCGGGCTCGGACCTCCCCCTCCGCCACCGTACGCCCTGTGATGATGATGATGCTGCCTATTTGCATAGGGTTTTGGTTCCATTCGTGTGTAGTTAGTGCTGTATGGAAATGCTCCAATTAGACGTATTGAAGGCGGATCCACACCATTTTTCGAAGGTTTGGGGAATTGATTAATGGAAATGGGATGAAAGTTGAAACACTGATGAAGGGAGAAGGGAGTGGGGAGTCGAGTAGTATTTGAGAACTTTTGTGTGGTTACTTTGTAATTAGGAAATAAAAAGGCACTCGCCACTCCAATACTCCATCAATCTCGTTCTAACTAACCTGATTAGGAAAACAAAAACAGTTGTTAAGGGCTTTTTATAACTCAATCTAGTCTCAATAGTTGCAATATGAGAGTAATTTTTCAAAGTGATAAGGGCTTTTTATGTGCGGTAAGTGGTGAGTGGCAAGCGGATCAAGATCCTTAAGTGATCCTTCACGGAGATTGCGTCGGCTCCCATCAGCCTCGGAGATGAGGCCATGTTGGAGGGTGTTGACACCGATTGGATGGACAAAAAGTGCGACGTGGAACCGGAGATGGAGACAAAGGATGTGAGAGAGGGAATCCCATCGAAAGAGTTTCGATCAATTCCGGACAGTGCGAAAACGAGTCAGGCGGTGGGGTCGAGCATGCATGTGTTCTACGCGTGAGGGAGGCAGTATCCAAACTCCATTGTCTCGCACCGGTTCTCAATGATTGTGCTGTCCTGGAACTGCCGGGGTGTTGGCAATCGGGAAACAATTCGCCATGCAAAATTCCTTATTTCGAACAAGGACGCGGGGGGGCGATATGCTTCTTGGAAACCAATTCCGACAAGCTCCTTAAGACGGTAGGTAAGTTGGATTTTGATAACTCCTTTGTGGTTAATCCCCTTGCTTTTGTGGGGGGGGGGGGGGGGGGGGGGGGGGGGGCTTCTCTTAGTTTGGAAAAAAAGATATATTGAATATGGAGATAATTGGGAACAACTCCCAAACTATTCATTGCAAAATCCATGGAAGGGGTACTACCCTCACCTTCTTGTCTTTTGCGTATGTGAGGCCGAATCCGAGGGCCAAGGAAATTTTTTGGTCAAATCCGAGGGCCAAGACTTTCACTGATTCCATACAAAAGCCATGGATTATGCTTGGTGACTTTAATGACGTGGCCAATATCAATGACCACTGGGGGAATGATCAAGTTAATATGAATAACATCAGTAGATTCTGTGAAGCATATGGAAACTGCGGTCTTATGGAGGTGAACTCTTTTAGGCCAAAATTCACGTGGAGTAGGCAAGTAGGTGGCCGAACGATAATCAAAAGGAAATCGTATCGGGTGTTCTGGAATCTGGATGCCTAAGACAGTTATCCTGAAGCTACGGCAAGGGTTCTCACTATAACTCATTCTGATCATCACCCCATATCTTTTGTTAGTGTGGTGGGGACGGCGCCAAATAGGGAAAGTAGACATTTCTGGTTCGAGGCAGCATGGCTCACCTGCAATGATTACAAAGAAGTTTAGAAACAAGCGTGAGTAAACAGAGATAATGATGTGGTAGGGCGATTGAAGCCATGACTAGCCTCAGCAAGAAATAAAATAATGAAGTTTTTGGTAATATCTTCAAAGGAAAAAGGCGGCTATTAGCTAGAATTCATGGCATTCAGTCATCCCCCTAGAATAACAACTCATGGTGGTTGCAAGTTCTAGAACGAAAGCTAATGGCATATCTCAACCACACGCTAGAACAAGAGGAATGATTTTGGTTCCAAAAATCAAGAAAAGCTTGGATCCAAGATGGGGACAAAAACACTAATTTTTACCATCGCTCGACTGTTGTTCGTAGAAGTAGGGGGAGAATTTGTGCTCTCAAGCTTAACAGGGAATGGAGCTCGGACCCCAAGACTCTTAAAAATCATGTCACTCATTTTTTTCTCTAACTTATTTGACAGGGTAGAGCACGGCGATAGGGAAACTCTGGACCCCCACGTAGGCAGAAGACTCTCGATAAGAGAAGCCGAGGGGCTGATCAGAATTGCCAGCAGTGACGAGGTGAGGAAGGTCGTATTTTCGGGATGAAACGGTGGGGCAGTCAAGGGCCGGATGGGATCTAGGCGGCGTTCTATCAAGATCATTGGGAAGAGGTAGGTGCCAGTATAACTCACCAAAAATCTTTGCATTGCGAAGTTTGTGGATGAAGTTGAAGATGAACTTTTTTGGCCTTCTAGTTGATTATCTTACATTTTGATTGCAGATTTAGGAGAGCAAAAACCTAATTTGAAGAAATATGTGCACAAATTGCTAAAAGGAATCACAAATTGCTTTAAATTGGAGTGCACAACCTAAATTTCCAGTTTTACCCTTCATTTTAACACCAACTTAACGCCAAAGCTAACGGAGAACCATTTTGGCTTAAAATTCAAAAGTCGGATGACCACTTTGAGAAAATTAAAAGTCAAGGGACCAATTTGAGAAAATGTCATATTCGGATGACCATTTTGGGAATTAACTCTTTTTTTTTTTTATGACAAGGAAAATTCATAATCACTAAGTATTGACCACTTGAAAGTTAAATTTAAATATTGTAATTATCAAGTCAACAATCTGACCAACTTATTCAAAGTTTCTCCATAGACATTGTTTTTAATACATATATAGTACTCGCCAAGCACCTTGTGCTCAAATGACACCTTTGTGACTCTTTGAGCTGCAATAGTTAAAAAAAATATAAAACATATACTACCTTGTAATATACAATACTATTCAAAAAATATGTGGTACTCCAAAGAGATCAAAGAAATGTGACCGTTAGGTAAAAGGTTTCATGACTTTATCCCTTTACGGCTTTATCTCCCCTTCCTTCTTTTACTCAAAATTCAAATTCAAAAGTGACCGTTATCCCTGCACTATTGACTTTCCATTCCAGCCAAAGGACACTACAAGAGTTACCATCTCCCCCATTGATTCTTCTCACATCCTTGAACTCATCATCTCTCTTCTTCCTCTTCCAATCGAAACAACAGCTCGCAATCGCAATGGCTTTGAGACCTCTGGATAATGCTCTCCCAGTGATTTCAGAAAGGCCCAAAAAGCTAGCCAAAATTGCAGCCCCGACAAAGAACCCCAATCAGAAACACCCCGATTTGCTGAGTGTGAAGAATGATGAAAACATGGCTCCTGTTCCGCCGCCCGGAGATGCCGCCGTGGATTATATCCCTTCTGAGAATCTCGAAGCTGTGGCTGACCCGGATGCCAAAATCCAAGTTAGACTCTAGTCCTTCTAATTCCCAATCATTGTTTTTCCTTGAATCTACTTATGCAGATTTTTGTATCGTGTCAATTAATCTCAGGACCTCGTTGGAGGGTTAGAATCGAAGGACTGGTTGAAGGTTTGTGAATCGCTGAATGATGTTAGGCGCTTTGCACTCTTTCATCCCACTCTATTGGACCCGATCCTGTGAGAATCCTGTCTTCCTTTTCATTTCTTTCTTAAATTTCTATAATGAATAGAGATATGAATCAAATAGACCCTCCAACGGTATACCAAAGGACTCTCGAACTATAAAAAAAAATTCCCATTTGACCTATAATAGTATGTTATCCCAAGTTATCTGTCACACAAGATGCCTGGTAGATTAATATTTTTTTATTAGGACAGGTTATTTACCTTAGATATTCAAACATGCAGGGATAAGGTAATCTTGATTATGGTGAAAGCAATGAAGAATCCCAGAAGTGCTCTTTGCAAGACCTCCATCATGGCTTCATCTGATATCTTCAATGCATTTGGTGATAAGTTGATTGAACCTGCAACATCTGATGCATTTGACCATGTGGTACATTTCACCTATCTTGCTTGATTATATCTCATGATGCATCTGAGTGTTATTTTTTTTTGGGTGACTGAGGAAAATCCGCAGCCACTACTTGAGGGGTAAACCCCGCCTTTTGATGCCTTGTGATCATAGCCGTCAAATGACCACAAGGAGGTAAACCAGCCTAGGTTGTTACCTATAGCTGATCGGCTCAAACCAAGAAGGCCAATAGGCTGCTCCTGTTGGGAGTTGAACTTATCAGTTGAGTGTTATTTGATGATCTTGTTTATTGAAAATGGGATTTTTTAATTTTTTTTTTGGGGATGTTTGTTGCAGCTTTTGCAGCTACTGCTGAAAGCCTCTCAAGACAAGAAATTTGTGTGTGAAGAAGCAGACAGGACACTCAAGGTAATGGTGGAATCCATGACTCCTCTCCCTCTGCTCCAAAAGCTCCAAGCTTATGTGAAGCATTTCAACCTCAGAGTCAGGGCCAAAGCTGCAATCTCAATCGCAGAATGTTTCTCAAAGATGGTATCCACTCCCTTTCTATTTGGACTCAAATTTGCTTTTTATTTCTTGAAAGATTACTGAATCATATGTATGTATAGGAGCTGGAAGGAATGAAGGAATTCGGGTTGGTTCCATTGATCCAAACTGCAGTGAATCTGCTGAACGACAGGCTTCCAGAGGCACGAGAAGCAGCACGAAGCATTGTTGTTTCGTTGTATGAAGCACTAACCGCAAATGAAGAGCAGAAACAGGAGGCATGGCAAAGCTTTTGCCAGTCTAATCTGCCAGCAATTCATGCACAATCCTTGATGAAACTGGTTTCTTCTTAGTGAAACTAGCAGGCTTACAGGGAATCAGTTTGTAGTGGTGAAATCTCTATGCCTGATACATTATTGTAGTATGGTAATTTGGTTATGAAATAATTAATTTTTTTAAAAGAATTTTCTGTCAAATTATTGCATCAGTTTTGGCCAACAATGGCATGCCAAACCCCCTTGACAACAGAGTAGTGAGTAGTAATCAAGCATCACAATTAAACCAAGGAATATATGTGATTATGTGAACATTATTTCTTCAATATATAAAAAAAAGGATCATAAATCGCGCAAGAAAAGGGTACAACAATCAAGTACCTCCAACATCTAAGTATCTAACGATTTTCATAAACAATTTACCAAAGAAAAACATGAATCTATAGTATCTTCCGGTCCACATCCATCTGATGTTCTCAAATCTCCAGCTTTTTAACAGTATTCAAACATCTGTTTAAGTGGCTAAAAAATATCCAGTTTCCCTTTGGCCGTAATGGCATTTCAAATCTGTGCAGCAAATGAGCGCAAGGTCGTCTCAACATCAACAAGTGGTTGGCCTGCATAAAGCTTCAGTTGTCCTTTCCTGACAACAATTGCATTTTCCATACTTGATTTTACTGATTCATCGTGTTCCTGGAAAAATGTTTTTTCATCCATGGTTACAATGTATTTCTGTGCAACAAGTGCAAATGAATGAAAACTACTCGTTTTTTAGTTACTTTATCTATTTAGTTTTGCTTAATATCAATTAAGGATTCTCACATTGAATGATAATAACACGATTTCAGTGCTGAAGTCTTCCAAATCTTCAAAGTAGGACTGCAAAATATAACAGAAATTGGCAGCATCACTACGATCTTCAAAAGCAACAATATGAGACAAATCCCCGGAGCTACTTTTTAAGGAGTATAGTCTTTGTTGTACTTTACCATCATGACTGATATGCATGCGTACAACCTGCAACAGAAGGGGTAATTAGCGACAAAGCATGAAGATTAAGTTTGAAATGTTTGGAAAGAGCAACAATATGAATATGAAGACGTATTAAGGTACAGATAGTTTTATCGTACTCATTTACCAAATGATATTTTGTAAGCAATAACATGATGAACCTACCCCCAATAGCGTAAGGTTGAATCATTTAATCCCCTATTCTCAAACTACTTCAGAACTAAAATCATAATTGACAGAACACATGCCATCAGGGAAAAAAAAAAAAAAAAAAAAAAAAAAAACTAGACCTTTTGTATATGTCTTGTATCTCTTCTCAATGATCAACTCAACTTAACTTCGACCAAGATTTTAAGACACATTTATTTACAATATTTGAGTTTTCAATTCTTGAGTCAAGTTGTGTTTTGTGTGTGTGTAGCCTCATTATATCTAATTGGTGTCCTCAAACCTTGAATTTGTTAGTGTAAAACCTTCAAGTCAGAATGACTCAAAAATTAGTGCACATGGCACATAAAAATGGGATAGAGAGTAATTTTACGATATTTTATACAGCTGCTGGAAGGGTCTACTATCTTAGAATCTATAAAACAACTTCATATCACACGTCACATAGGTGTTACTAAACTACATTAACAACACTAGTAAACAAGCTTAGAAAGAAAAAAAGCTGAAAAAGGAAACCAATTAGCAAGCAGTAAGTGGATTGTATTACATACTAGAATGTAAGGGAGACTCAACCACCAGAAGTTGGTTTCTTTTTCAAAATTTGTACTCCCAGCTTTCTTGGCTGATTGTTTCTCTGTACCTTTTTTCCCCTTTGAACTAAGATTTCTATTTGACCTATTCCTTTTGTTGGAAACCACAGTAGTCTGCGGAATGCTAGGTTCATTGTTATTCGGAGCTTCAACCAATATACTCTGGTTACTTCCATCCTGAACACCACCTACTAGAAAAAGAAGAAAAACAACAAAAACATTTAGCTTAAGCATGAAGCAATTCTTGATTAATTGTTTACATGTACTGTCGTATAAGGTAGTGTAAAAATAGGCGATTTCAGGTAAAAGATAACTAGTCAAAAGGATTTAAGGATATTACTAGTTCCGTGTACAGATTTTGCAACCTCTTGTCTCTCTCCTTCCGAATTCTTCTCCCTTTCTTCCACTGAGGTCTTTCCTACACCATGAGAAACATTACTACGTTTTCCTTGCTCAGATGTTTGGACATGTCTTCTCTGTCCATGTTCTTCCCCATTGGGTTTTACTGGAGCCGTAAAACCAGTAGGTTTATCACTTGGTTTACCAGAAAAGCTTCGATACTTATGCTTTTTCTTAAACAACAATGCAGCATTCATTTCTTTTTCATCAAAACCACCAGTTTTCGCCCTGCCTTTCCTTTCACCATTTCTCATCAGGTAACCAACCAAAGATCCTGGCAGCTTCCCAATTGCATTACTAACAGAGCTATCATCATCTTCGTAGCCATCGCCAGAATCACTTGCACTACTCTTTGCAGCCTCAATCCTTTCCATTGCTCTAGCCTCCCTTGCCATCATCTTAACTTCCTCAATATTCCTCTCCATTTCAGCCTCATCCACAAGTCCAGTCCAGCCATTTTCACTTCCATTCGAGAAAAGTTTCAGCTTGGACTTACTGTTCCCAACCCCACCAATTTCCAAGATCTCATCTTTTTCATTTTTCCTACCAAAGTTCCCCTTTTTACTATCAAAACCAGCTGACCCGAACACCCTAACATAAATGGTAGGAACAATAACGGCCGCAACTAGCCATGAAAAAAGTTTCAAGGCAGAACTTTTACCGTGGTTTACTAAGCGAGGTTCAGAAACTTGAGCCACTTGTACTTCTTGTACTTCCGACTCCTTGGGCTCCTCACCGGCGACTTCAACGGAAGGGTATACTGGAATTCGCTCCAATGGGGATTCAGAGGGTGCTAAGGGGTCTATGGTGGGGGGTGTTTCAATGGGAACGGGAAGGGGAAAATTGGGGTGAGGTTTTGTAAGGGTTTTGAGAATCTTTTCGCGAAGATAATTCTTTCTCTTGGTGGGTTTTCTCTGGTTTGAGGCTGACAGCGAGGATTTTAGCGAAAGATGTTTTCTTGAAATGGGAGTGGAAGGAAGGAGAAGAGAAAGAGAGGTGCCCAGGGCACCCGCCATAGCTCTTCAGCTCTACAAGGGAGGCTCAGAGAGCATGTTTTACTTAATTTCTTGGCTTTTTTTTTTTCTTTTCAAGAAGTAATTAAATGTAAAATAGGTCAATGATTTATTTCTTTTGTATAATTGGCTCATTGAATTAAAAAATGTACCATTAAACTATCTAATAAGTAATATATATAAAATGCTTTTCATCTCACTAATATAATAGAGAATATAGACTCTTAGTATATACAATACAAGTAAAATGATAAGATTTTAGGGTCTGTTTGGAAACCCAGAAAATGACTTCTGAAAATTATTTTCCGGATTTTTGGTGTTTGGGAATGCTGAAAATGAAATAGTTAAAGGAAAATGCTAGCTAGTCAATGGAAAATGAGGGTTAAAATCCAAAAAATGACTTCCCTTTTTTTTTTTTTTTTGCGGAAGTCATTTTCCATCTTTCAATCAACACATGCAGACACGCTAAGCCTCTCCCTTCACTGCTTCTTCTCCCACTTCACCTCCTCCTTCAACATTCAACAGAGAACTACCAACACATTTCTTCCAACAATCCACAACCACAAAAGCTTCACTAATACTGGAAAAGTTCCACATCATTTTTTTTTTGATTTTTTTTTTCCAAATATTATGGCTGGGAAACCAGTGAGTCTTATTTTCCGCATCGGAAACCAGATCTGATTTTCGATGCGGAAAACCAGTCACTGGTTTCCGATCGGAAACCACTCGGAAACCAGTGCAATCACTGGTTTCCGATTGGGAACCAGTGACTGCACTGGTTTCCGAATGGTTTTCCGCATCGGAAACCAGATCTGGTTTCCGATGCGGAAACCAGTTGCATTTTTTTTTTTTATGTATGTTTTGTAGTTGGTTGGTTATGTTGGATCTTAGTACTTGTTATATTGGATCCTAACACTTTGTGGACTTTAATTTTCAAGACTTGATTATTTATGCGACTATGTTGTTTCTAACATGTAACTGTGATTTCAAATTGTCATATTGTGACAATAGTTTTAGTACTAGAAAGATAGAGAGCAATGACATTAGAATTAAATACAATCAAAATTTATGTTGCATATAATTTGTAATAAAAATTGTTATATTCTACAAATAAAAATAAAAATTTATTATTCGATATATAATAATTAAAATGTTTAAGTATGTCATTCTGTTCATTTTCTGGAAAATGAACCAAACACCAAAGACAATTTTCCATCATTTTCTTGAAAATGAACCAAACATCAAAATACAGTTTTCCATTGTGCAGCCAAACACAGGAAAGGAAAATGACTTATGGAAAATGACTCATTTTTCAGAAGTCATTTTCCGGGTTTCCAAACAGACCCTTATAAGAAAATGGGATAAGGGTCAAATAAGCCCTCAAACTATATTAAAATGTGCAATTAAACCCTTGAATTTTAAAAAGCTCCAATTAACCCCTTGAACTCACAAAAATCAAGCAATCAACCCCTTCTTACCTGTTTTTACAAGTTAATTGCAGGTTAATGCCATGTCATATTTTATTATTATTATTATTGTTTTTTATTATTATTATCGTGCGTGTGTATCTCCGGCGAGCAGCAAGGGGAGAAGAACCAACCGGCGACGGCAGAGCATCGGCTGGAAAGATTGACGATGGTGGCTGGTGTCTACTCCTTCGGCGTATTCCAGCAGCGACGGCGGCGGAGTTGGCAGTCGGCGTCTACGAGCGGTGTTCCTCCCTTCTCGTCAATGAGAATCGGCAGCGGTGGTTCCCCTGTTCTTCCGGCGAAGCAGTCTGGTGGTAGCAGCAGTTGTCTCCCCTCCGGAAGTAGCGGCGTAACGGCAGTATGCGTTAGTGCCGCCGTCGTTGCTCCATTTGTTTGCCATCCTCGCTGCTTTCTGGAAGAAGGCAATATAAAAAGAAAAGCACCACAGTCTCCATTTGTTTGCCGTCCCCGCCCAGGACCTTAGAAACACACTCACCAATCAATTTCTTCTTCAAGTTCTCACAATACATAAGCACCACACTCTCCACATACACCTCCATGTCATCGCAATCCAGGATTTCCACCGAGTGCGACCCATTCCGCCGCAGCTTCTCCGCGAAGAATCTGTTCCGTCCGGCCATCACCCTCGGATGAACGTCCATAGAAACCTCCGGCCACCCATCACGCGCTGCAATCATCAGCTTAACATCACCACCACCCCCAGAACCATCAACAAAACTACCATCAGTGAGGCTCGGGCTTTTGAAATTAAAGGTGCATGGGCCAAAACCCGGGAGGTTCGCTCCTGGACTCGGGGGATTGCTTGAAGTTGCGAGACTGCTCCTTGGACATCATCTTGAAGAAGGCCGAGCTCTGGTTGGGCGGAGGCGAAGCAGGGCTGTACGCAGCGGCGGAAAAACGGCGGTGGCGGCGAGTTTAACGACAGGAAAGAAATGAAGCCTTATTAATTAAAAATTAAATTTAATATAATATATTATTTTTTTAAATAAAAATATGTGGAAGCCACGTCAACTCGCCAAATCAGCTTAAAAAAATCCAATCACCAAGTAGTTGACCAGTAACCTGAAGACAACCTGCTAATAGTGCTAATTGCACTTTTTTTGTAAGTTTGAGGTTCTTATTGGAGCTTTGTGGAGTTGGAGGGTCTAATTGCACAAATCAATATAGTATAAGGGCTTATTTGACCCTTATCCCTAAGAAAATTAAAATGTTTCAACTGTTTTTTTTTTTTTTTTTTTTTTTTTTTTTGTGTGTGACCGTGCACTTATCTTTTAGGAGAGATCAATTGATCAGCATTTTATAATACAGACGTAGCCTGCATGGGTAGCTCAACTGGTCATAGAGGTGAAACTTTGGAAGAATGACCAGGGATCGAGTTCCTTATGCGCAGTGAGCACCTGTCTAGCCTCTATGGTTCATTGTTGTGACCTGCTTAGAACACCTCATGATCCGACCAAAAGAATTATTAATTTTACTTATTTAATAATATCATTTAATGATTTATTTGACACTCTTTCTTTGATTCTACTTATTTAATAATATCATTTAATGATTTATTTGACATTCTTTCTTTGATTCTTTCTTTCATTTTTCCCCAAACATTTTGGCTTTTGCCAATGAAGGATACGGCGGCGTTTTATTGTCATAAAAATTTCCCCAAACATTTTAGGGTTTTTCTTCGTTGCCACCGGCGAAGATTGAGTTGCTGATTTGCTTGAAAGATTTCACAGTCTATTTTTTTGTTCACTTTTTTCCATGTGGGTCTATTCTTTCCTTTCAAATGGTCTTATACGAATCAAATGTTCAATTTCATTTGTAAGACATTTCCCCATTTGAGGGCTTCTGCGAGATCTTCATTCACTACTTACAAATCCTATAGAACAAAATCTGGCGTTGAATCCCCAAACCAAGCCAAGAAACACTCATATGTAGTTAATTATCTCGTTAATACATGTGGGTTTGCTCCAGAAAAAGCTCTTTCAGCTTCCAAATATATGAAATTTGCAGCCCCAGATAAACCAGACTCAGTTCTTTCTTTCCTGGAAAATCATGGGTTCACTAAATCCCAGGTTTCAACCGTTGTTCAAAGGAACCCTCCCGTCCTGTTATGTGATCCTCAGAACACCCTTCTGCCCAATATTGAATTTTTCAGGTCCTTAGGGTTCCCAGAAAAAGAATTCACTCGAATACTCTGTGTAGTTCCTGTCATTTTGAAGAGAAGCTTGGAGAATCAGCTCTTGCCAACTGTAGATTTCCTTAAAAATTTTCTATCTTCACCTGAGGAAATCAGAATTTCCATTAAAAGGTGCCCCCAGATTTTTTTCCTAGATCGTCAGGCTTTTATGGAGGATAATGTTCAGGTTTTGAGGGAAATGGGAGTGCCTGAGTTGAGAATTGCACGTTATTTTCGATACCAGCCTTGTTTGTTCATTAGGGAAAAGGATAAGTTTAGAAAGATGCTTGAGGAGATCAAGGGAATGGGGTTTGAGCCAACTCGAAGAATATTTATGGCTGCAGTTCATGTATTGTCTTCCATGACTAAATTGACTTGGGAAAAGAAGATATGCATTTATAAGAAGTGGGGGCTTTCAGAGGATGAAATTCTTGAAGGTTTTAGCCGGTATCCTATGTTCATGAGTTTCTCCGAAGAGAATATTATGGGGACGATGGATTTTCTTGTGAACAGAATGGGTTTCACAACTTCTGATGTCATGAAATACCATTTGATCATTTCGAATAGTTTGAAGGAGAGGATTATTCCTAGATGTTTTGTTTATCAAACGTTGTCGGCAATGGGCTTGTTGCCTGCAAACGACATCACTGTACTTGTTAAGATTTTGAAAGTTTCTGAAGAAAAGTTTCTAACCAAGTTTGTGGAGCGCTATGGGAAAGAAGTTCCCGAGCTGCCAAGTCTATATCAGTTGTCTTGCTTGAGCGACTCGGCTGAGCTGAGCAAGGTAACCGGGGACTCTTGTGAGCAATGTTGAAAAAATCGTTAGGCGCCTGCCTGGGGACCGCCTAGGAGGCCTACCTCCTTAGAGTGCCTAGGAGGCCTACCGCTTAGAGTGCCTAGGCGGGTGCCTACCGCTTAGAGTGCCTAGGCGGGCGCCTAGGAGGCCTACCGCTTAGAGCGCCTAAGCAGGCGCCTAGGAGGGTGTGTTTGGTTGGTGGGTTTTGCTCATAGGAATGAGTATAAAGTGATTGTTGTTGTTTGGTTGATAGGTTTTTAGAACACTACTATGGGTTTCGAATACCCCATCAATTGAAAAACTCATACCAAATAAAATAACGGTTTCATTCCCTTATTTATTATCAAACACTACTATTAATAACCATTCTCATTCCACCCTACTACCAAACATGTTAAATACTTTCACCAAAATCCATTATCATTACCAAGTATTTGATACCCATTCACTTTTGGTCCTGTGAGTATTAGGGTACTGACAATTTGAGTACGTGACTTTCAAAACTCCCAATTTAAACCTTTAACTATGCATTTTTTGGCACATTTGGTCCTCCGGGCCAAATTGCCGGCCAATTTTGGCCGGAAAAAGATATAATCCTTCG